TTCATCCCCGACAATACTTAATCACTAAATTAAACTGTACATATATAGATATTAAATGAGAAAGGTTTTTCGTACATACGGTCTAAATTTAAGTTTGGATGGCAGGCACTTGTACCAATCCAAAAGAATTATACATAAAATTGGAATTACTTGAATCAGAACTATATTATTTTAAAATCGAAAACTCATATTAGAGACTATGAACTTGTAACCAAATTAGTTTGAATAATAGGTTATACAAAAGGGCTTAAGTATTTTCATTTACTATACACCAACAAATTAATATTTCTTAAAAGAATTATGATACAGTAAGATTTCTTTTATCACTTTATTATAGTCGTTGTGAGATGTATTACAATATCACCAACAAATCTCTTTATTAATACAAAAAAGTAATCCCATACAAATTTATTTTTATCTTATATAACGACACAACTTTCCATTTCTATCCTTCATAACAAAGTCACGTCTAAATATAAACCCTTCTTAGGTTATGAAAGTATCATAAAGTCCATACCAATATTGAGAAACCTAAAATTTACAACTAAATTACACATTGTTATATAATGATTTATATTGTACTATAAATATTATATATTTCTAGTGCGAATCGGAATCGATCGCGATTTTGTCTTGCTGACTGCCCGAATATAGCAAGCATATTAAATTCCTATAGTCCTATTGATTCCTATAGTGATTCCCTATAGTAAGTAATTCCTATAGTTATACTTTCCGCCAAAATCTATATAACTATAAAAATATGTTTAATTTGTTTAGTTAAAGATTATTAATAAAGTTTTTAGAAATTAGTTTATCCCGAGTTTGGGATTGGGATTTAGGCGTGTCAAACTATTATAGTTTGGACGACCAGTATACCTATAGTGATTCATATAGTTTATGGGTTATTTGTTTAATAAGTATTGAATAGACATCCTGATTGTATTACGCTTGCTAAGTCTTTGGTTAAATGCGTTTTTAATATCATTGGATGTTCGTCCATTACCAAGTTTTAAAGCAATTTTTGACCATTTTTCTCCTTTAGAATGCGATTCCACAATTATCTTTTCTTCATGTGATGTAAATGGTATCTGATTAGCCTTCCTAACTGTAAATACATTATTTTTTATTGTTAAAGACTATAAAATATTTGATATCTGATAATATATAATAAATAAATTAATAACATACTTCCGGGTTTAAGATGACTATCCCATCGTTCACGGCACTGCTTAGCATTTCTTTCACCCATGAAATTTGCTATAGTATTCCATTTTTTAGCACCGTATGTTTTTACTAGCAATATTAATCTTTCATCTTCCTATATCAGATATATATTAAAATTTAATAGTAAATAAATTTTGCTTTACCGTTATATATTTTTTATTTAAATTTTAATTGTAAAGTTACCTCTCTAGTGAACCGCTTGGCGAGACGCTATATATACGTAAGTATATGTTAATAAATTATTAAATTTCATTGACGTCATCATTATACTTGCTGGCAAAACCCGGACAAATCCCAAACCCAAAAAATACAATTGCTCTTTACAAAAAATTAAATCAAAAAAATGATCTTGATATTTTGCAAATATATTATACATAGCTATGAAGATATATGCCATCTATTTAAGTAAAGATTATTAATAAAGTTGTTTAGATATTAGTTTAGCCAGAGTTTGGGATTTGGGCATGAACAAACCCAAACTATAATAGTTTGGGATTTGGGCGGCAAGTATAGTCATCATATCTTGAATTATAATGTTACCTTCTATATTGTTAAAGAAAATAAAAAAACACGTTTAGATTCCATTTAATTTATAATAGTAATTTATTTGATTTTCAAGATAGAATCATAGCTTTACCAATTTCGTCTCCTTTTCAAAAGGTTTCGTACTCTTTTCCGAAACTGTCGTCCCATTATTCGAATATACTGATACCATAATTGTGCTTAAATATTCTTAATAAGATATATATATATATTAATAGCTTAAAAACTTTCTCGGATTGATAAAGTTTATCAGAAAACGAGGATGACGGCACGTTCATTTTATAATTTCTTAAGTATAGTCTCGTGATTAACCGAAGTATCTAAGAACAAAGAAAGTTTTTAGGTCACAAGGTGAATGATATAAACGCTAAGCGTTTCGACTCGATTTCATGTTCCATCATCCAACGTGTTCTTTGGTGGAAACTCTTCAAGCATGACCAAACAAACATAACAAGATAGTGCAATATCCGGATAACGGAGTATTTACTCCTGTCAAAAAAAAAAGAAATCATAATAATAAATAAATACAAATAAAATAAAATAAAATAAAATAAATCAAAAAAAAGACAGTTATTAAAAATTAAATTAATTCCATTTAATAAATAAATAAATACTAAACATATATATACATAATTTATATTCTAGGTTTCGGAGTCTTAACATTAGTAAAAATATTAACCAGTTTTTGTTCTCATTGGTCATTGATTAATTTCCATAAAAGTTATAATAAATGCGTCCCATGACTTAGGTAACTAGGTTCCCTTGAATATATAGTACCCTTATTAGTATGCTGCGGCTATTTCACACATAATTTATGGTTCATGGCTGCTTACATCATAAAGATTACTTTGGTCTGTGTTAGTAATATGAAAATGATCAAATCAAAATGGTAAAAAAAAACCACTACATATTATATGTACTGTATATACCAGATACGTACCTATTAAGTATACGTATAATATTCCCATCACGTGATATGTTCACAAGACCATGAATTTGAGTACATGAACATATGACCAATAAACTAGCCATCTAAATAAAACGCACAATGAAAAAATTGGATTTTAGATTCACCATTTACAAATACACAGATCATATGCCATTGTTTGCATCACGTGAATTAAACTATTAGTTTCTCGTGGCAATTTCCTCAGTTTTGGTTCGATAAGTCATTATCCATTCATCAAATCATCTTATTTATATTCTTTGTCCCTACAAAAACAATTACATAAGATTAAAAACACAAAATTCAGGCGCGAGTCACGGAAACCATTGTTAAAAAAATAATAATAATAAAGCAATAATAACGGTAAAAAAAAAAAAAAAAATTGATATGCATGAACGTGACCTGTAAAAGATAAACATTCTTATCGATTATCAATAATTATCAGGTTCTAGAAAAGGTTTCTTGACTGTGACCAATTCGTGTCACAGTAATAAAAGATGAATGTTGTAAAAGAAGTATGCTCATGACCTAAAGAAAACAGAATTCATTCATCAAACATGTTTTCATATATGAAAACTATTACATATTTATGATTGCTTTTCAATGCACATGGACCAAAATAAAAACGCAAGTATATGATTCAAACAAGAATGATCTGTTAAATGATTCATGATTATAAATATTTGCTCATCCGATGAATTTGAAATATTTCACTTACCTTTTAAATCATTATCGTTTGTGATCGCTTATAAATGTTCTGAAATTGATTATAAATAAATAAAAAGATATTACTAAACTTAATCAAATCTTACTATAAAAATTAAAACAATAACGATTTCTGTTTATACACAGTAGATTTATTTCCATAAATATTGTGCCTACTAATTTAATTGGTTTATCAAATTTTATTATATATATTATAAAATATACCTACAGTATAAAGTTTTTGTTTCTATTATATGTTTTATTATGTTCTTAATATATTTTTTTAAAAGATTAGCTTTTAGTGTTAATTTAAGGTTTTGATGATTTTGGACATATAATAATGTATATGGTGTGCCCCATATTGGAATTAGTGGAATTAGCCGATTCAGAATCGGGAAAGTCCTGAATGTGAATTTTGTAATTTTGGCATAATTTAACTAAAATTATTTGGCATAATTTAACTAGAATTAATCGAAACTCTAACCCTAATTCTAAACCTAAGTCTTTACCAAAATATATAATTACAAATTCCCATATAGGACAACCCGGTTCTGTCAATTTCAATTCGGAGTACGACATATAAAACGTACGT